GTGCTGTGGGATCAAAATGGAGTGCTGAGAAATCAAACAGTACCCTGCGAACCCTGTACGTTAAAAACCTACTACAAGGCAAGTATTTTAACCCTTTTACTATCTTTTCCTATCTCACTGGCCCCTGATTATGAGTGTTTAAATTTGATTTGCATGTGTTTACTTACATGCCAGTAACAGGCTCCAGAAAAAAGCTCTCCAATGCAGATATTCAGAATAGATAATATAGTTCATGCAGATTGTGCAAATAAACTTGAGTGGTTTTCAAAATAAAATAAAATAAAATAAAACGCTAGAACTGCTCTCCTACAAAATTAAACATCCTCCAAAAGGGCATGCAGCCTCTCTAACTGAATCAAAACAGTGGTGGGCACCAGAGCCCGGTGGCCAGACCAGTGAGCTGGGGGTGTCTGTGACCTTGAGAATCAAGGCTCAGACAGGCACAATTAGTGGGTCTTCTTAACTTTCTTTCTAAAGTTATTCGAGGGGACTGTGGTTTTGCTTAAGGCAAACCCCCCTTAAGAGTCGGGAATCTAAAAACAAACAACATTATTTTATTAGGTTACCCCAGCAGATGAAAGCATAGTGCTCCATTTGGACTCTTTTTGGAGTCAATTAATGCATTAGCTAAAAACAAACCTTCTGAAAGCTAGTTCCTGTTGTTTTCAACAGCTCTAAAAGAACGCTCAACTACTGTGCCACTCAACTGCCAGAGAGGAACAGAGAGGACTGAGTTGTAAATAATTAGAATTTATTGATAAGGAAAACTTTCAATGATATATCTCAATCCCAACATTATCTCAAAAGGCCTGGGCTTTTTTAAAAGCTTTATTATTTATTTCTAACTGTTTTATTTATTTTTGTTTAGGGGCCATATCTGGTAGTTCTCAGGATATACTCCTGATTCTGAGTTCAGGGGTACACCTGGCTGTGCTCAGGGAACCAGTGTGGTAGTGTGGATACAAGTTGGGGTTGGCGAATACAAGGCAAGCATGTTAACTTCCATCTCCTCATCCCTACAGCTTGATTTATAACAAGATGCAGGAAATTTAAATCTTTCTAAGTTATTCTAAGTTTCTGACTCAGACAAATTAGAACGGATACATTAGAACTATAGCTGCTTTAATAAAAATGAATTTCTGACTTATGAATATATGCTGTGATTGTTTTTTAACTATGGATTTAACTCAAATAGCAGAAAAAGCCTGTAAAACAGAAACTAATAAATCATTCATTGCAAAAATATATCTCAAGAATCGATCATCCAACCCTCCCTCCATCCATCCATATAACCAAGAGCCCACTAAGTTCCAGGTACATAGGACAATAATAAGAAACAGGCCCTGCCTTCTTGGCAGTCCACCCTGGACTTTCAAACTCAAGATTGATATTAATTTAAAAGATAGAGTGACATGCTTTCAGCTGTCTCAGACATTACAAAAGCAGTAAACCCCCGGTAGTCCTCATAACATGGCAGGTAGAACTTTTTTAGTGAGGGTGAGGTTTTTCCCCCCCAAAAGTAAAACAACAAAAAAGCACATCCCATTTGTGGCAGTACCATTTGTGAAAAGAACATTTCACTTCTCTTACCATGGAATGTATCTTTGTTTTGGGGCTACACCTTCCTGTGTTCAGGGCTTACTCCTGACACTCTCAGAGGATCATATAGGGTACTGGGGATTAAGCGTGGGTCAGCCACATGCAAGGCAAATGCCTTACCCATGAATTATCTTTCCATCCCATTTTTTAAAAAAATATTTGGAGGGAGATAATACAGGAGTAAGGTACTTGCCTCGCATGTGGCTGACCTGGATTTGATCCCTGTGCCACATAGAGTGTAACACCAGGCATGTTCCCTAAGTAGAGAACTAGGAGTAAGCCCTAAACAACTGGGATGGCTGCATCCCCATCCCCTCAAATTTCTTTTTCTTCTTCTTTTTTTTTTTTTGCTTTTTGGGTCACACCCAGCGATGCTCAGGGGTTACTCCTGGCTCATGCTTTCAGGAATTACTCCTGGCGGTGCTCGGGGGACCATATGGGATGCTGGGAATCGAACCCAGGTTGGCCATGTTGGCTGCGTGCAAGGCAAATGCCCTATCCACTGTACTATCGTTCCAGCCCCCTATCCCCTCAAATTTCTAGAAAAATCCACATCCTGAAAACATTTGATTACCCTCAATTTAGAATAGGATTTTGCTCAGTGGCAAGGATACAAATTCATCCCCCATAAGTAAAGCTTCTGGGCTAAAAAGCACATGGTGACTTTGAGAGAAGTTTATCAAAAAGGTGAATTTAAAGGGTCTACAGTGCAGGAATTAACAAATTCCATTGATTTCTCTCTTACCTGAAGGTGACTTGTGAACACCAGCCAGAGGTGGTTACAGTTTCAAGCACAATTTGTTCCCATTTTTTTTTATTCCCCACTCACTAAAGTTATGTGCTGCTAAACATTTCCAGAAGACTGTCAAAATGTAAGCATCCTGAGGTTTACATAGGCCACACCATTAAATAATACATAAGCACAAAATTTTAAACATTGTTTTCCAGCAATGGTAAATATTTTAGCTAAGTAAAAACTGAAGCTTGAAATGCAATAAGCATTTAAATGACTCCTTTCTGTGCCAGGACTCTTATTTTCCCCTGTGCAACCCTGGCTGCTGGGATTAAGGCGACCCCAGGGAGTTCAGCAAATGGTTGTGGGTTATGAGGTGTAGCATGAGCTTGGCGACAGCGTGCCACCCAGCCTCAAGAAACCCAGCCACGACTGGAACCCAAGAATCAGTGTGTTCACTTTGTGGTCAGGTTCACATTTTTCCCCCTCCTTGAGAAAAAAAAAAGCTGCTAAGAAAGTCAGTAGTCTCCCCTACCCCCAGGCAGCCACGAGGTAGACTAAGGGCAAAGCTGAGAGATTCTGGGGCTTGCGGAGAGGCGGAGGCCAGACCCCTTGGGTGGGCAGGCATGCCTGTGGGAGTTACACTGCTTTCAGTTCTTCAGTATCAAGGAGGGAAACAGCCTGGCTGCAGAGCGGCAGCCACAGCACTGGAGACCTATTGTGCTATCACTTCAGGAAGAAGGAAAACCCAGAACAAATTTGAGGTGGTTTTCACCACAGGGTGATTGCAGTCCTATTTAAGGATGTCACAGTCACACCACCCACTGAGCACAACTCGGATGGAAATTAGCCCTCCTTCAAAGTGTCTCAAGTCTCTGCTGTCCTCCAACAGAACCAAATTTTTTAAAGGAACACAGCCCTGCGACCCTATATATTATGACTTCCTGGTTATCTCTGGCTTTCATTTACTACAAGAGATTTGCCCTTGCTTCCGGTAAACTGAAGTAAAGCCAAGCTGCTCTCCCAGCAAATTCAAGAGTATTTAAGGGATGCAGGTAGGGCAATACAGGACTACTGAGAATAAGTCCATATTGAACATAAAAATGTGATCCTAAAAAAAAATTCAAGCAAGTGAGGAATGCAGAGATGCACAGTTTAGAAACTTTTCTTTAGTCTGGCAGTCACGCCCAAGAACTGCCTCTGGTGCCATATAAGCTCATCAATGGCCATGGTCCAGAGGCTCACAAATGAATCTCTCGGAAGAGAGCAATACTAGAGCAACATGCTGCAAAGATGCCTCCGGACCCCAAAGTCACCATCCAGTTAAAAAAAAAATTAAATCAGCCTCAGCTGTACAACTGTATTTAAAATTTTAGAATTCCTGGAGCATCTCATACACTACACCACTGATGTACACAACACATTTGATGGTGTGTAAAGTAGAAGGAAGTTAGTCTTGGGGAGAATACACACACACACACACACACACACACACACACACACACACACACACACCCGGATCAACCTTTAACAACATGTTAGTAATTTATTATATAAGGGCTTAATGGCTCCATGGTGAAATATCACAATCTTCACACACGTTCCTCTAAGGAAACTTTTTGGCATGGTTTTTAGTGTAGTTTTCATTAACAAGCAATACAGAATAAATTATTTAGGTCCTGCTTTGGGGGCAGGGTTTGGGGTTCAGGTTGGAAACATTTGAAATATGGTGGTGGGAAGGTGTAATGGTGGTGGGATTGATGTTGGAGTATTAAATGTAAACAATTATTGTGAACAACTTTATAAAAATGAAATAAAACTTTAAAAAAAGAAACTTTTCTCCACATTCAACAGACCAAAGTGTAAGTCCTTTTAATATTATTAAAATTTCTAGGACATATTTAATATTGAGAGTAAACTATAAATACAGATATCCTATTGAACAGGGCTTGGGGTGAGAGCAGTGTCTTCTCTTAGGTTTTATCAAGCCAAATCATGAGGAAGCTATGTATGCATTTGTTCTATTTCTAGTGAGAATCACAAAATTTTTGACCCACCTAAAAAAAGTAAAATCAAACTTCTGGATTTGTTTCCTCATTTGAATTCGTAACAGTAACATTAACCTTTCAACATTAATGGAATGTTAAGCTTTGGCCTATAGCGAGATAGAGATTGAAAAATGCCATCCCCGAAGGAGGGAAATTTGGGGGATTTTTCAGAAAGCTTTTCAAGAACATTATGGTAGCCTAAGCAGGTAAGTCCTCAATTCTATTCATGACTTCCTACTTATTGCAAATAATTATGATGTTGACCAAAGATGACCATGTCAGTTATGAAAATGTACATGATTTTGGTATGAGAAAGAGTCAGAGATGATTAGAAAATATAATAATTTCATACCAGTGTTCATGACCAAAACACTACTGAAAATACCGAGGATGACCAGAACAAACACCAGTTTCCTATGTCCCTTGCTTTTCCAGGATGAAATGGAGGTTCTCATACTCAGGCTGATCACTGGTGTTATCTGAAGACAAGGGTACATGTTACCTTGAAAGACCAGGATTATATGTTTATGTCAGTATGAACAAAATCCCTTTCAGTGTGAACTGTGGAGCCCAATGTCGACTGTTGTCATTTATCATATACACAAGAGGAAATGACTCAATAGCTTTAAAAATAGTTTATTTACTCTCTTCCAAACACACAGCCTTCTGACCATTATGCAAGATATCACAAATTAAATAAAAATTCAAACATTAATATTAGAGAATATTTGTCTTACATGATTCAAGATAAAGTGTAATTATAAAATAAATGAGTGCCAATTATGAGTGGGCTCAGGGAATTTGGGCGGGTAGCAGTTTTGGGGGGGATATACACTTCACTATGCACTGAACGAGGAGAATTAGCCTGTTGTACATCATGTCAGCAGTTATCCAAACTAGTTCATCCTGAAGAAGTGCAACATCTCATCACTTCTCTGTCTTTAAAATAAAATGCCAACATCACTTCCAGAAAGTACAAGGACTTCTCTCTAGTGGTTTTGATACCAGTAACAGAATGATTATTGAACATCTTCAATATGGTTTCCATTACAAAAGGAATAAAACCCTCCATGTTTCACATAAAAGTTTCATAATATGATCCAGAAACAAAAGTGCATCCTTAAAATCTGAAACCAAATTGGCTGTTTACGACAACTTATCATTTCTTTCAGTATTTTTGTTATAAATATGTACCCAGTTTCCCACTGAGTCGAACAAACATGAAACACTTTGCTGTTAACACTATGATTGCCTTTCAGTAACTTCTTCAGGACTAAAATCCTAGTCCAAGTAGAATAGCTCTAATTTCTATTCCGACAAACTCATTTCCCCAAATCATATTAGAGTCAACCAAAACCCAGCAAATATTTGGTACAAAGACCCCCCAAACAATAATTATGCAAAATTTCCAATGATCAGGTTAAAGGAACACACCAAAGATACATGATTATATTTTATAAAAAGCCCTCAATAGAATTTTAAACTAGAAATGGAAGTGAAAAGAATGAAACATCACTCCAATCCAAGATGCTAGGTTCCTTCCCACTGTAACAAGAAAGTGGCAGCAAGACCCCAGGCTCATTCCTCCGATCATCATCCGCTAGTAACTTTTGAGGTAGAAGCCGATGACTTGAATAGAGGTAAGTAAAGTCCAAATTTATTTTCAATCCCTGCAAATGTTGCGACTGCCAGTTTATAGCCCCCCACATGATCGGGATTGGGCGCAGGCAGTGTGAGCCTGGATTTGGAAGCTGACTCTGATCCCACACGTTTCCTAAAAAAAAAGATAAAATAGAATCTGAGCTTTGTATTGTTTTATTTTAATGAGGCAAAAATAACGTTTGTAACATAGCTCTTAGGAGCTCTATGTGGTACTGCGGATTTGAACGGGAAGTCAGACACATGCAAGGTAGGTATCTTACCTACTATACTATGTCACTGGCCCTGTCAAACACTATAGTAGTTTAAGGATTATTTTCAGTATGGCACACTGTACCCAGGACCAAACTCTACACCTCATGTCTACAAGGCAGGTGCTCCACTCTTAGCTATGCCTGGGTCCTTATTCCCATACTTCTTATTTCATCATAGGGACGAGACTGCCAAACCTTTCTCAATATTGCCTAACTATTAGAAGCTGCAGCTTTAGTGGAATACTTACACTCCTCCAAAATCAATGTAGAACCATCGCTGTAGCAGTTCATAAGTCAGCAAAGTTACACCAAACTGTGGAGAGGATCTAAATACACGAGCTTTGAAAAAAATGGGAGAGAACAGAAAATTAGATACAAAAAAAAAATTGCAAAATATTTTTGCAAAGGTTTAGATACAATTTTTTTTTTTCCATACCAGCAGCTCCTTTCCACAAAGCTTTTGGGCCTTCTTCCCGCAGAATCTTCCTAAAGCAGTCTATCACACCATTGTAAGTTGTTTGGCCAGCCCTGGCAGCCACCTGTAATCGAGTCTTGATAACATCAGCAGGGGTCACTAAGGATGCCGCAGGCATACCTGCAGGAGTGACAATGCATCACAGTCTGGTCACATATTCACTATATAAAAATAACTGTGCTCTAAACGGATAGTCTCAGGAAGAAAGTTAAGAAACCAATGAAATCAAATGTCTATTTCACTGTCCTCTCTAGGAAGCACAGCGGTGACTATCTTGTTGGTATAATGGAGATTCCCATCCACCTACAGGCACTCCACCTCGCCTTCCCCAAAATCATATCCTTTTATGTACACATTGCTTAAAATTTTAAAAGAATCATTAAAAAAGAAATTATTTTCCAATAACACTCCAAAACAACAAGGAATTATTTTCCAATAACACTATTTCAATGAATCAAGAATACATGGGAAAAATCACTGCTTTTTTTTTTTCCTTTCATGTTGAAATTAGAAACTCGCAAAGTTAATAGGTCCAATTTTTCAGAGGTGAAGCTTGTTATGTGTTTCCTCTTCATGCTTTTCTGTGGCTACTGGCAGTCACAGGAGGTGCTTCTAGCACACATACAGCTACCCCCCAGCCTCAAAACCCTAACCTCTCCAATTTCATCAGAAAAATGCTATAGATAGCTAAGCAAACAGTGTGTGTGTGTGTGTGTGTGTGTGTGTGTGTGTGTGTGTGTGTGACTGAGGGGTGGAGCTGAGACTCAACCGATAACACTGCAGAATTCCTTTTTCTTCAGTCTGACATCTCTAGAAAAAAAATATGTGAGAGAAAGTTTAAAATTTATACTGGCTGATAATCAATGAAAAAGGAACAACAACAACAAAACCCATCCAAAATTACCAATGGGAAATTTTTCTACAGTCACTTTACCCAAAATGGGGCAGCCCATGTTTAGATTTTTGAAAAGCAAGACTGTACTCAGAAGACACTGTCTCTTATGGTTTTATTACTTTTCCATTATGAACCTATTCCAAACCAAATTGGTCAAATGCAGATGCATAAATCTCCTTTGCTTTTTTTAAGGCTTAATAATTCTGTAAGAATCTCTGTCCAAACCAACGTGGTCTGGCTCACAACTACATCTTATCCTTCTAACAGACAGTTTTAAAGTTATAGTATATGCCTGTGTCTGGGGGAATCTGCATACTACATGTTTGCGTTTATACTACTAAGCGGTATCTCTTCCTCTTTCCTCATTACACAGCTCCACAAACATTGAACCTTAAGTAACAGTTTTTTAAAAATGCATCGCATTTTTGCATGTGAAAAGCTCACTTTATATCCAGTGTTTCACTGGATAAGTCATACTGAATTTCCTATTGACTTGGAGGAATTATTTTAACTTTGGGCCAGGAATTTATCCTCCAACATAATGGAAGGAAACATGAAAAATGCTTAGAAACCCACTGTATTCACACTACCAATTTTGTCTTACTTCCTGGTTTAGGAAGAGTTTAGTGAGGCTGTCTGCTTTAGAAACGCAACAGCCCTTACAATGGCATACAGGGATGTAAGTGTGTGATCCTGAAGGACCAGAAAGTAATAAAAGAAGTAGTAAGTTTCTTTCTATTAGAGAAGTTTTCATAGATAGTTTTCATGGGGGTGAAGAGCAGGGAAGAATGACTGGTGTGGTAAATAAAAATAACAAGAGAAACTGGCAAGATACTGAGTACACCCTTACAACGACTAGTGTGTTGAATAAAAACACCAAAAGAAACATGCAGGATGTATACTCCATTTTTCAGTAAAGCTTATTGGTGGTATGTGGGTTGTTGAGACATGGCAGCCTTGGAAGTGATCTTCATTATGTCCATCCCCAGGTCTCAGTTTTCCTACAGAGAAGGCTGCTGGGTATTGTGAGAAACTGTGTCTATACTGTGTGGCCAGTGAATCTATAGTGTGGAGATTTTCTACTTAAACCTGGAGAATAGCATCCAAATGCTCCAAAGAAAAGCCAGGAAAGAAGCAGATACAGGACAGTGCTTGGCCATCAAGGATCTATTGATTTTCAGGGTTAGGGTGGGTTAGCAAAGATTCTGAGTGACTTTGTCTGGTTTCTAAAAGTCTAAGGAAACATTAAAGCTTTATGCTGATGTGTTCTTTGAATAAAAAAAAAAAATTCAACAGATTGTGTCTTATACATTCCTATGTTACAGGAAAGGAGAAGCTGAGGAAGAAGGATAAAAAAATGAATGTGTTCTATAGTACTTAGGGTACTTAGCTTCTAAAATGGCCCTTGGGGATCTTTACCTCACATCTCAAGCTCTAGAAAGTCTCTTCTCATCGAACAAAAATAATCAGCTGTAACCAAAAGGATAGTGTGATGTGTGACTTCTAAAGCTAGGTGTGGCTTCTGTTTTGCTTTCTCTTTCATCCTCCCTCTTTTCCTGCCCTCAAATGCCCACACCTCCCACATCTGATCTTGAGCTGAAGGAAGTCAGCTGCTATGTGCAACTTGTGGAAAGGCTCATCTGCCACAACATTGAGGCATCTTGCCAAAGACCATGGCAATGAACCATCTTGTAAGTAAGCTGTCCAATTCCAGTCAGGACATAGAGCCCGAGGAACTATTTGACTCTTTATTGACTGCAATCTCAGGAGTCACTTGAGTCAGAGGCACCCAATAAGTTTCTCCCCTGATATAAATACTGTGAAATGATGAACATTTGCTGTTTTAACCTGCTAAATTTTAGAGTAAATTGTTATGCAGTAATAGATAAAAATACTAGAAGTTATCTGGAAAATGGCTTTGAGAAGGAAAATTATAGTAGCCTGGGGATATAAATACTTTCAAGAATAGCATGGCAATACCTTGAAAACAATTGCATTTTTCATTAAAAAATTTACTTTAGGGACACGTTCTTTAAAGAAAATGATTCAAAACAGTGCTAGATTCAAAACAGTTAAAAAAAAGCAGAAAGATTGAAGATTTGAAGCAGGAAAAAAAAAAACCACATTTTTTTTTGTTAGTTTATTTGCTTGATTTAGGATTTGGGCCATACTCAGTTGTGCTCAGGGCTTACTCCTGGCTCTAAGCTGAAGGATCATCCTGGCAGGGCTTGTAGCACAGTATGTGTAACACATTCGGCATTGGTCTCTGCAAGGAAAGAACCTTAACCCCTGTTCTATCTCTCTTGCCCCTTTATTTATGCTTCAAATGTCATATAATAAAAATATATGTATTACTAGTGAACTTTTAAAATTGCTTAATATGTTCCACATACTTCTTTGGATATTTATTTCATTATGGGGTCAGACCCAACTTGCTCAAGGCTTACTCCTGGCTCTGCATTCCTGGTAGGGTTCCAGTGCTAGAACTCAGTGCTAGAACTTGGTAGCATGGTTGCCATGTATAAAGCAAGCATGAAACTCCACAAGACTAAGACTATTTTTAATACTTCATTTTGATGGTGAAACAAGCAGAGGGAAAAAAGTAATTTGTATAGGCCACAGAGTCCTGAGTAGAGTAAGTGGAATTTGAACCTGAGTATTCTGACTCCATAGAACTGCCACTAACCTTTTAAGCACTATGGTAGCTACCATTTCTTCATATATAATGTCAAATATCAAATGCACACAGTGTGCACAGCTATGTTAAAAACTTGGAAAAAATTAGCAAATATTCTAAATGGTGGCTATCTTAGTGGAATAATGGAAAACATATTAGTTATCTCTCAAACCTTCCTAATAGTTGACAATGAGCAACATCATTTTCATAATATAAACAGAAAAGTAAACCTTAAGAGACAAAAAAATGCATTCTAGTAGCATGGTTTGCCTCAGAAACTCCTGTCCACAGATAAAATAACTCCTGTATAGCTATCTTCCCCAAGAAAAGAGTTAAAGATAATATTTTTGTGGAAAACAAGAATTGGGGAGAGTCCTAACTTTGAATCTGATTATTTATACTTATGTTTTGATTTCACATATGACTTTTGGAGTGATTTATAATCAGACATTTGTATACTGGTAACAATTATTGACTATTTACTATTATTTACCATATGCTAAGTCCTTCACATAGGTACTAAAGTTTGTTAACACATTTAAATGTTTGATTTCCCCCTGGGATTTAATCAAGAGAATTCCAGTCCCTTTAGACTCTCCAGACAAGGTGGAGCATCAAAGAACAAATTGATTCCTATAGGAATAATCATATTTCTTTTAGATATTTACATTGGAAACAAAAGTCAAGCTCTGTATCTAATTTTTCCTATAGGTATTTTCACTGTATATATAGTCCTTTGTGTGGTTCAATTAACACAATACTCTGTTCCTATCTTACACATCAAAGACATCTTATCTCATTCTTACTTTGGACAAACTGGCAGGCCACCAAATGTAACCTGCCCACACGGCAGAGTTGGCAAACTCCCCATGGCGTACCCAATATGACAAATACCAGTAAAAATGATGGGTCTCATTCTCCTAACCCTAAAAGAGCCTTGAATATGGCACTTTTTAAAAAAATTCTCTGGGCTAGGACGAAGGAGATGTTACTGGGGCCTGCTCGAGGCAATCAACATCAAAGGGAATAAGATATCTAATAGGCCCAAGTCACTTCATTTCCTTTGTCTAAATGACAGAAGCTATTACTCAAATTCTCAAACTTACTTTGTTCAATTTTTTTTTTTAACTTCCAGTGGAGCACTTTTTATTCTTATGCTAGCAAGTAAAACTACAAAATGATATGGAAATTGAACTGGAATCCAATAGTACCACAAAATACACCAAATTTTAATGTGATTCTTTGTGAGTCAAAAGTTAGCCTTGTGGGCTGGAGTGATAGCACAGTGGGTAGGGTGTTTGCCTTGCACACGGCTGACCCGCATTTGATTCTCAGCATCCCATATGGTCCCCCAAGCACAGCCACGAGTAAGCCCTATGCATTGCGGGGTGTGACCCAATAACAAAAAAAAAAAAAAAGAAAAGAAATTAGCCCTGAGCTGGAGAGAAAAGCCTAATCGAGGGTATAGTCTACTTGTAGAAGGCCCAGATTTGATCTAAGTACCTCCGGAATCAATGCTGGAGCACTGAACCAGAAGTAGTCCCTAGCATTGCAGAATGTGGCCCCCCAAACAAAAACAAAAGAAAAAGATGTTAGGGGCTGGAGCAATAGTATAAAGGGCAGGGTGTTTGCCTTGCACGTGGCTGACTTGATTTTGATCACAGGCATCCCATGTGATCTCCCAAGGTTAATGAGGGTGATCCCTGAATGCATAAGCCCTGGGCATAACTGGGTATGATCCAAAATCAAAACACAAGGAGCAAACAAACAAGAAATTAGACCTAATAGTCCAATCTACTAAAAATAAGATTAATTTACTTGCCATTTCTTTTCAGTAGTTATTCAAAACAATTTATGGTTATCTCATATATCCCCTCAAAGAACGTATGCAAAAAATTGCAGAGTAGAGGGGTGGAGGGAGCTAATAAAGGTCTGTGAAGGATACTCACCAGCTATGGCACCAGCTAATAACAGGCTTCCAGGGCTAATCTGCCCATCTTCATTTGTAAAAGAAGCTTTCATATGAGCATAGCACGGGAAGTAGATGGCAGAGAAAGGAATGTCCCGCAGAAAGCATGCCTTGGCACCCTGTACATTGGAAAAAATAAACAAACAAACATGAAAGACATATTCCATCAAGAAAACTTCACTGAGACTGGAGAGACAGAACTATGGGTGAGCCTATAGTTCTGTCTCTTGCATCTTTCATGTACCTGACCCAGGGTCACTTACTGGAATCGCATTTAGATCCCTTGGCACCCCCAGGAATGATCCCTGATCTCAGAAGACAGTAAACCTGGAGAAAAGCAAATGTGTACTCATAGGCTGAAGGGTAAATAGGAAAAATAAATCTTGCAAGTAATTAATCTAAATTTTGTTTTAAGTCATGAATTAATAAACTAAACTTACTGTGTGGTAAGTGGAGGGCAGGTGCACTCATTCATTTTTTACTTTTGGAGTTTTTGTTTTATTTTCCGACTATACCTAGTGATGCTGAGGGCTTACTCCTATGCTCAGCGATCACGACTATGAGGATTGGGGGACCATAAGGAATTGAACCCAGGTCAGCCACAGGCAAGACAAACACTTTACCTACTATCTCTCTGTACTATCTATCTATATTCTCAGATCCCCAATTTTGGATTTTCATCTGTGAATCTGTGAAGTCCCTAATGATGACATTGAAGAAGAATTTGTTCTCAAAAGATGGGCAGCAAAAAACATGACATCTCACTGTTAATATACTAGAAAATAAATTAATTACATTAAATGACAAGGCAAATAATTTGGTTTTCATATTGTATGAGAACACTGGTGAAAGCATTACATTGTTTCCCAGAAAAAATTACAATGAAAAAATTATTATACCTGTTCAGATATAATAAGTAATCAAGGGGTTCAGGATCCCTTAGTCACACGTACTTAAAATTTACAGGATTATGAAATATTGATAAATGCCAATTCTAAAGTCTTAGGTGTCTACAGTAACTTTTACACATTAAGAACTGTGTACAGACAGGTCAGCAATAGAGCAAAATTTCCACTAAATAATTTCTGCTGGAAAAATAATGTCATGTGAGGCATAAGAATTGATGGGTGTCTAGAACACATGAAAAGTAAACAACACCTGGAGGCTGAATAAAATACAGTGCAATGACAACAGAACCAAAGAGTAAGAAATAAAAAGATTCCCTGTAACAAATGGGAATGAAAAAGCAAACTATCAGAATCTATGGAACACTGCAAAAGCTGTACAAGGAGGAACTTCATAGCAATACAGGCCTCCATCACGAAAGAATAAAGAGCTTAAATCAACAACATAAATATACATCTTAAATAAATATACATCTGGAGAAAAAAAACAAATTAATCCTAAAAATAGCACAAGAAAGAAAATAATAAAAATTAGAGGAGAACTCAATGATAAAGATATATCAAAAAAACAATACAAATAGTCAATGAAACCTGGAGCTGGTTCTTTGAAACAGTAAACAGGATAGAAAGAACTTTGGCTAGACTTATGATGAAAAGAAGAGAAAAATGCCCAAATAAGTCATATGAGAAATGAGGAGAGAAATTACAATCAATTCCTTAGAAATTAAATATATTGTGAAAACTTACTATGAACAACTTTACAAAGTTAAGCTGGAGAACCTAGAAGAAATGGACAAATTCTAGAATATTGTAATCTCCCAAAACTGAGCAAGAAGGAAACAGAAAATCTAAACAGGCCAATCACAAGCAAGGAAATTAAAACAGTAATTAAGAATCTCCCCAAGAATAAAAACTATGGTCTAGATGGTTGAATTCTATCAAGACTTCGAAAAGACTTACTACATTTACCCTTTAAGCTCTTCCAAAACATTGAAGAATCAGAAGTCCTTTCTGGTAGCATCAATGAAGCCATGTTAACATTACTACCCAAAGCTACTGACACACAAATTTCCTTAATGAATATCACTGCAAAAATCGTCAACAAAATCGTAGCAAACTGAATCCAACAACACATTAAAAAAATATATCACACACCATGATCAAGTGGAATTTATCCCAAGGATGCAAAATTGTTATCATATGCAAATAATTTAATGTAATAGACCACCTCATTTCATTCATTTCATTTCATCATCCTGTTAATCGTCGATTGCCTCGAGCAGGCCCCAGTAACGTCTCTTTCATCCTAGCCCTGAGATTATATTTACGGCTCTTTAGGAGAATGAGACCCATCATTGTTACTGGTATTTGGCATATTTGGTAGGCCACGGGGAGTTTGCCAGACTCTGCCCTGTGGGCAGGCTACATTCGATAGCCTGCAAGTTTGTCCAAAGTAGGAATGAGATAATAAGATGTCCTGTGGGCAGGCTACATTCGATAGCCTGCAAGTTTGTCCAAAGTAGGAATGAGATAATAAGATAGACCACCTCAATAAAAGAAAATATAAAAAAATCAAATGATCATAGCAATTGATGCAGAAAAGGCATGAAATAAAATCTAACATCCACTTATGAAAAAAATTCATAACAAAAGAGGGGAAGTAGAAACCATCTTCAAGAGAGTAATTCTATCTACAGCAAATCCACGGTATCAATCTTAATGTAATAGCTGAAAGTATGTGCTTTGAGATCAGGTACCAGGCAAGGATGTCTACCTGCTGCAGTTTCATTCCATATAATATTTGAAGTCCTAGCAATTTCTAACCAGGCAAGATAAAGGAATCAATGGGATTCAAATTGGAAAAGAAATAAAATTATCACTATTTGCAGATGACATGACAATATAAACATAAGAACCTAAAGAGTTCACAAAAAGGCTCTTAGAAACAATAAACCAATACAGCAATAGCTGGCTACAAAGTGAAAACACAAAAATCTCTCACATTCCTATATGTAAATAATGACCCACAAAAGAAAAAGATCAAAGAGTCTATTCCACTCAAAATACTGTCCCAAAACATTAAGTACGTAGGAATTAACTTGAAAAATTTGAAAAATCTATACTATGAAAACTATGAATCACTTAAGAAAGAGAAGATGACCTTGGGAAAATATTCCTGATTCAAAGATTGGCAGAATCAATATTGTCAAAATGATCATCCTATGAAATTATTACATAGATTCAATACAATCCCTACTCAAATTCAAATGACATTCTTCAAGTCAGTAATAAAGCATCCCACATAGCCAAAATCATCCGTCCGTCCGTCCTCCCGTTTTTCATCGATTTGCTTGAGCGGGCCCAGTAACGTCTCCATTGGAGACTTCGTTGTTACTGTGTTTGGCTTATTGAATACATCACGGGTAGCTTGCCAGGCTCTGCTGTGCGGGCACGACTCTCGGTAGCTTGCCAGACTCTCCGAGAGGGGCGGAGGAATCGAACTCGGGTCGGCCATGTTGGCTGTGTGCAAGGCAAACGCCCTACCACTGTGCTATTGCTCCAGCCAAAATCATACTGAGAAATAAGAAAGTGGGAGATTTCTTATTACTAAACTTGAAACTATACTATAAAGCTATAGTGATCAGTATCAGCACAGTACTGTAAAGAGGATAGAGTTTCTGACCAATGGGTTAGAATCAAGAATCTAAGGATGAATCCCCAGATCTATGGTCAATCAATTTTCAACAAAGAAACTGGGTAGAAGAAATAGATTAAAATCCCTTTCCAACAAATGGTGAAGGGAAAACTGGATAACCACTTATAAAAAATGAAGCTGGATCCATATCTCACAATTTACACAAAAGTTAATTCAAAGTGGATCACGGATTATGAGATCAGATCAGAATCCATAAAATACATTGAAAAAAATACTAGCAGAACAATCAAGATTTGAACCTCAAAAGTGTTTCAATGATGTGATTCCACTGGCAAAGGCAACAGAAACAAAAATAAACAAATGGGAGTAACATCAACTTAGAGAGTTTTGCATGACAAAAGAAATCTGGGCTAAAACTAAAAGACACCCGGTGGACAATGAGAGAATAATATTTGTGCTCAACATTTCCAAGGTTTAATATCCAAGATATATGAAGAACTCACAAAGATCAACAAGACTTCGAAAAGAGGAGTGACCTCCAAATAACAACAGTAATAAATAAGCAAAAAAAAAAAAAACCTTTAAAAATATGGGGAGGGAAATGAATAGCCACATCTTTAAAGAGAGACAAATGGCCAATAGGAACATGAAAAAGTATTAATTACTTGTTATCAGAGAAATCCAAGTTAAAATGCAATGAGATATCTCACACCATGAGAATGGCACATATCAAGAAAACTGGGAACAATCTGTGTTGGTGGGGAAGTGGTGAAAAAGAAACTCATTCACTGCTGGTGGGAATGTTGTCCAGTTTAATCCCTAGGAAAACAGTATGGAGACTTCTCAGAAAAGTCAGAACTGAACTTCCATTCTACCCCAAAATTTCATTTCTTTGTATCTATCCCCAAGACACAAAAATATTCATTCAAAAGAACATGCATGTCATTGTTCACTACAGCACTTAGCACAGTAGTTAGGACAGAGATAAAATCTAGGTGTCCAATGATAGAAAAGTGGATCATGAAGATGTGGTATATATACACAATGGAATACAATGCAACTGAAAGGATGAAAGCACGCAATTGTCTGCAACATGGACAGAACTGGAGGTTAGCAATGTAAGTCAGTAGAACAAATATCAAATATCACTTATCGGTGGCACACAGAATAACAGGACGAGAGTAAGCATGGTATTGAAAGGGGATACCTAGACTATACTGGTTCCTATACTGCAGATAAGGAAGAAAGGAAATCAAGGCGGGGCGGGGGGAAGAAAAGGCAGATGGGAGGTAACAGATGTGGGGGGGGGGGCAGGGACCTCAGACACATTGGCAGCGATAATGTGTGATATTAGAGATTTGGCCACAGAATGAACAAAACAGAAAGCATGAGATACAAACTACAAGAACCAAATTTAAAAATGAGCCTGTCAAGAAGACAGGCTACAGGGAGGGAATCTAGGGATGATAGTGGAGGGAAGTTGACACTAGTTATGGGATTGGTGTTGGAATATTGTATGCCTGAAACTCAACTATGAATAACTTTGTAAATTAATGTC